GAGAGAGAATGAGCAAGCGCGCACGAGCAAGTGCGCAGGAGCCTAGGGGCGGAGAGAAAAAGAGATGCAAAATCTGAAGCAGGCTTCAGGCTCTGAGCTGTCAGCACAGAGCCTGACGCTGGGCTTGAACTCACGGAGTGCAAGATCATGACCTGAGTTGAAGCCTGATGCTTAATTGACTGAGCCACCCAGGCACCTTACACAGTTCAATTTAAGTTGGGGACTTCCTGTTTTTATCTAGTGACATTCAGGTAAGACAGAAGCCTGTAAATTATGTAGCAGATACTAAAGCCAGGTGTTATCTCTGCAAGGAGATTTAACTTTAGCTTTGTTATTCTGTCCCTTCTTATTTCCCTTCTTCCTTTTGTTAATTGTTAAATAGCTCAATTGTGATATAATTCACATACCATACAATTGACCTATTTAGAGTGTATCCTTCACTACTTATAGATGTATTCACAGAAGTGTGAAGCCACAACCACAATGAATTTTGGAATATTTTATCACCCTAAAAAGAAAATATGGACCCTTTAGCCATCACCTCCTAAATTTGTCCATCCCACTCATCACCCCTCGCCCCTCCCCCCCCATAGCCTTAGTCCACAAGTAATCTTCCTGTCTCTATAGATTTGCCAGTTCTGGATATTTCCTATAAATGGAATCATATAGTATATGGTCCTTTATGAATAACTTCTTTCATTTAGCAGAATGTTTTCAAGGCTCATCTGTGTTGTAGCATATGTCAGTGCCTCACTTCATTGCTAAATAATAGTCCATTGTATGGATATACCACATTTTATTCATCCATTTATCAGTGAATGTTCATTTGGATTTTTTCCATTTCTTGGCTATCATGAATAATGCTGCTGTGAACATTTGGGTACAAGTTTTTGCATGAACATGTTTTCATTTCTTCTGAATACATACTTAGGAGTAGAATTGCTGGGTTATATTGTCACTATGTTTACCCTTTTGAAGAATTGTCAGATGGTTTTCCAAAGAGACTGCATGATTGTACACTCCTACCATCATTTTATAAGAACTTTAATTCTCTACACATACCAACAGTTGTTAATCTTCTCTCTTTTTGATTCTAGTATCTTGCTGGGTGTGAAATGGAATCTCCCTGTGGTTTTGATTTGCATTTTTGTGATGGTTAATGATACTTAGCATCTTTTCATGTGATTATTGGCCATTTGTATATGTTCTTTGAAGAACTGTCTCTTGCTTAATTCATTATGTCTTTTTATTACTGAGTTATTTATGTATCATCCTAAATTGGCCTTTCTCCGATATATGATCTACAATTATCTTCTCCTGTTCAGTGGGTTGTTGTTTCAGTTAGTTGATTGTGATCTTTGAAGCACAGTGGTTTTAATAGGCCAACTTAACAACTTTTTTCTTTGGTTGCTTGTGATTTAGGTGTTGTATCTAGGAAATTCATGTTGCCAAACCAGGGTTTCAAAGACTTACAGCTGTGCTTTCTTCTAGGAATCTGATATTTTTAGTTCTTACATTTAGGTCTTTGATCCATTTTGAGTTATTGTTTTTAAATTTTATTTAGTTTGAGAGGGATAGTGGAGGAGGGGGAGAAAGAGAGAGGGAGAGAATCCCAAGCAGGCTCCATCCCGATAACATGGAGCCTGAGGTGGGGCTCGAACCCAAGAACAATGACATCATGACCTGAGCTGAAATCTAGAGTCAGACGCTTAACCAGGTTCCCCTTGAATTAATTTTTGAAGATGGTGTGAAGTATAGGTCCAACTTTATTCTTTTGCATATGGATATTCAGTTTTCCCAGTACTGTTGGTTGAAAAGACTAATCTTTCCTCATCAAATTGTTTTTGGAGCCCTTGTTGAAAATCAGTTGACCCAGTGTATGGGTTTAAATCCATTGATCTATGTCCTAATGCCAGTACCACACTGTCTTGATTACTCAGGCTTTCTAGTCAGTTTTAAAATCAGTTATGTGTGACTCCTCCAATTTTGTTCTTCTTTTTCAACACCTGTTTTTGGCTATTTTAGCTCCCTTGAATATCCATATGAAATTTAAGATTAAGTTGTCAGTTTCTCCAAAGATGTCACCTGGGATTTTGATAGGCATTGTATTAAGTCTGTAGATCAGTTTAGGGAGTATTTCTCTTAATACCTTAATGATATTAAGTTTAATGATGTTTGTACATGGAATATCTTCTTGTTTATTTAGGCCTTCTTTAATTTTTTCAACAGTGTTTTTATAGTTTTAGAGTAGACATTTTGCACTGTCTAAAAGTATGTTATTAAGTATTCTTTTGATGCTATTGTAAACATGATGGTCTTTTTAACTTAGTTTTGGATTGATGATTCGAGTGTATTGATGTACAAGTGATTTGTGTATAATTAGATTTTCCTGCATAATTGCCATGCTATGACCTCCTAATACAATGTTAGGCAAAAGTGGTGAGGGCAGACTTTATTTTCTTCTTTATGATTTTAGGGATGAAACATTCAGTCTTTAACCATTAAGTATGATAATAGTTATGGGTTTTTCATAAAAGTGTTTTATCAGGTTGAGAAATTTCCCTTCCATTCCCTTCTTTGAGTACCTTTATTGGAAATAGGTGTTGAATTTCATTGTACACTTTTTCTGAATCTTGATATGATCATGTGGCTTTCATCCCTCCTTCTCAGAGTTTCTGGAAACGGCACATTGGATAGCACTATTCTCAGGCTGTTGTGTCTGACGTAGAGTGGCCATGCTGTCAGTGAGGGGTTGGTAATGGAAGGAATCCCTAGGTTCTCTGCTGCACTTGCCTGCAGTTTAGCCTACTTAAATCAGAGCTATGACGATGAAAAATCCTAGCTGTCTGACCTTCCAGTGCCATGCCTATTATTAATGATCTGTTTCTGCTCGCATCACTTTTGATTCCAGATGTGTGAGTTTTCCAAATGAGGTAATTCTCCAGTTCTCTGCAGATACCAGTGGGGTGTCCTGCAATTTAATTCAGCGCTGACAAAAACTACCCAGAGTTAGTGCAAATACCACAGGTTAAGGGCTCAGTGCCAGCTCCACCCAGTTCAGTTGCCAGTCACAAGTACTGGGTCCCCAGGTTACCTACACTTCCCTCTGACCTGGCTACAAACTGGGGGTTCCCACAGCTCTCTCCTCAGTTTCAGTAATTTGCTGTAATGACCCACAGACCTAAGGGAAATACTTTACTTACTATTACCAGTTTATGTACAAAGGATACAAATAAGCAGCCAAATGAAGAGGTGATATAGGGCAAGGTCCCAAGAGTCCCCATAGAGTTAGGGGATGTCTCATGCTCCTGGCATGTGGCTATGTTCACCAGTCTGGAAGCTAATCCAATCTCATTGTTCAGGAGGTTTTGGGGGCGCCTGGGTGGCTCAGTTGGTTAAGTGTCCAACTCCCCACCCTAAACCACTTCATTGGCATGAGCTTGGGTGTGATCTCAGAGCTTGTTATGAATAACAAAGGACATTCTTCTCACTCTGGAAGTTCCGGGGCTTTCAGGACCTCTGTGCCAAGAATTAGGGACAGAGACCAAATGTCTTTCTTATTGTGCCATAATACCAAATAACTTGACTGTGAACTGGGAGAAGAGGGAGCCCCGTCTTCTCGGCAGTGCCCTCCTGGAATGTGGAGTGGGGCTTCTGCCTGCAGGGTGCGGTCCCTCCCCTGCCCTTATCCAGCCTCTACCTGACATTTTCATTAGAGAGCAGCATTGCAGAACTCGTGCCATCCTTCTGGAAGGCAAACTTCCATGAAGTCCCCCACTTTGTTTTTGATGAGCATTTATAATAAATGTGATCTAGCTTTTGCCTTTACAGGCACGATCTCCCTTCCTTTAATGCGTTCACATACTGTACATTGGTCGCCTTACAATATTATTGTATAATTTTTCCATAATTTGACTAGTGATGATTTTTGTTTTATGTCATAGAGATACCGTCTGCTAGACAGACCTTCTGACTGGAGAGAGAGGGCATCTTTTTCTGTGATGAGGGTATTTGAAAGCTGATCCATGTGGGGATCCCCAGTCTAGCTGCCCATATCCCAATCTCACTTAATCATAGGCTAAACTATCCTACCACAGCTCCTTTTAATACACTGTGAAATATCCTGAGAGCCTCCTAGATTTCTGGATGCCTAGAACTTTCTTGCTTACTGATGAATGCTATTCACGGACATTCTCCCTCAGCTCAACCTAACTTTCCTATTTGGTCCATTCTTTCCTTATTTTGCTTTTTACTGAAGTGAAGACTGTTTTTACTTGAAATCAACTGGAACTTGAAGGATAGGTTCACTTGGGAAGGTCCTGAGACCTGACTGAAATCCTGTCCTAGCGAAGGTGAAAGAATTTTTTTTTTTTGTACTCATCCCTGATTTAAATATCTAACTAATAAAGATGGTGTGGTTAGAGTCTGAGAAAATGAGAGTTGCTTCATTTAAATTCCCTAGTCTTTTAAATGTGGGCAAATACTAACTTTATCTCCCTCATGTGATACAGAATATCTTTTCCTAATTAGCTGGACCCTTGGGGATATGCATTTTTTAGAACCAAAACTATGAATTTTATCTTTTTTGTTTTTGTTTTTAATCTCTGAGTTAAACTACATTCTGTAACAAGTCTCTAGTTCTATTGTGGGCTATGACTTTAAAATGCTTTAAAGTGTACTAGACTGCCTTATCTATCACATCAGGGATCTAATTGTGTTATGATTGGGAATTCAGTAGGCCAGACTTCTCTGTAGTATTGCCTTTCCGAAGGTGATAGAGGATATCAGATATTTTATAAAAATCCAAGAAAATTTGGCTTAATTTTGACACCAAATTTGAAGTCATTCTGCAAATTAAAACATTATGGATATTTTAAAATTTTGCTTACATTTGTTATTGTCTATGTTTGTTCACATTATCATGACTTACCCTTCGTGTTTTGAAATGCTACTGTTTTCTAGATTTTTTGAAAAATTAGATATTCGTGTCATTTTTGTAGACTAAGCTCCAGTGGCTCTGTGAGGAACTGAAAGAGCGAGAAAACAGAGAGAGGAGTCTGCGGCACGAGCTGATGCTCTGCAGACAGCAGCTGAGGAGTATGACCGAAAACAAGGAATCTGAGCTCCAGTGTCTCTTCGAACAGATAGAAAGGCAAGAGCAGCTTCTGGGCGAAATACAACAAGAGAAGAGAGGTGTGTTGGCTGTTCTTACTCTTATTTTTCTTCATTTACATTCGTGGAAACCTAGGGTTGAGGTGGATAAAAAAAAAAACCCTTTTTCTCTTGTCTCTACTTTGGAATATTTCCAAATCCCTCTTCTTTCCTTGGCTCTTGTCTCCCTGTCTTTCTTCATTTCTGGATTCAGAAGAGAAAACTGTTCACCCTGAAAGTTTTTCCTTCAGCTAGTGCATCTCTCCTGTGTACATAGCCCTGTACCAGGTGTTCATTTGGTAAGATGTGTGTTCTTCTCTGATAAAATGCTGAAGTTTATATTTTACTCCAGTAAAATATTCATTAGTTTATTCACTAAATATTTACTCTGTGCCAGTTCTGTCCTGGGCACTATTATAGGTGCTGAGGATATATCAGTGAATAAAGGGGAAAAAAGCCTTCCTGTTTAGCTTACATTGTAATGAGTGGAGTGACAGAAAACAAATGTAGTAAGTAGGTAAATTGTTTAATATATTAGAAGGTTATAGGGACCATGTTGAACATAATAGAGTAAGGGAAGGAGAGTTTGAGGCAATACTTTAAAAGTTAGACAGGAACTTTGGAAAACTGCTTTTCTGTTTGGTTCTAGTAGGGATGCATCATGATGAGAGGAAGGAAAAGAGCACCGTATGGAATCCTGTGTGTATCATGTGTCAGGCTTAGGTCTTTTCTTTATTGGTGAACTTTATTAATTAGGAAAGAGAATTAATATGGTGTCCTACTAAGAAAAACAAAACTTTAACACATGATAATCCTCTAAAATTTTTTTTGGGTTTTCATTTTAGTTATCAAGATTCTTTTTTTTTTTTTTAAGTTTACTTATTTTTGAGGGAAAGAGACAGCTGGGAGGGGGTGCAGGGAGAAGGAGGGATAAAGAATCCCAGGAAGGCTCCACATTGTCAGCAGGGAGCCTGACTTGGAGCTCAAACTCACAAACTGTAAGATCATGACCAGAGTCAAAATCAACAATTGGACGCTTAACTGACTGAGCCACCCAGGTGCTGCCTTAGTTATCAGGATTATTCTTTCTACATGTACCAGTTAGAAATTGTTTATCGCTATACTGCAGTGATTCTCAATTTTTTTTTTTTTTTTGTATCAGGACCACTTTATATTCTTAAAAAGGCAAATAATATCTTTGTATCATTAATTAGGGGTCTTGAATAGTTCCTATACCATCCCTTGTGAACTCCTGCTCTAGTGCATGTAGAAGATGCAAACTGTGCTAGTAGTGAAAGTCAGAGGATGCCTCTATATACGCACACGCACACACACATATAGACAGTACAACAGAATCTAAGTTTGGAATTTATAGCTAAAACATTGTAGGATCTCCAAACATGTTATAGACTACTCACTAATACTAGATTGCAACCTGGTTTTTTAGTAAATATTATCAATATTGTCACCCAGTAGAACATTTTTTTGTATGAGGATTAATGCAATAGTATATTATAAATAACTGTAACTGTTGACAGGATAAATCCAAGGGGAAAGGAACAAATATTTGTGCACTTAAGTAATTATTTTCAAATAACCAGCTTTTCCATAAAAGCTTCAGAAGATAAGTTATAAAGTTTATAACCTCTCAAGGTGATTGTTCTATTTCTACTTTTCAGATTTAATAAAAATGGATCGCTTGTTTTATATCTATAGAGCACTTGAATTAGCTTGTCAGTTTTTTAAAGAGAATCTACTAGTATTTTAATAGGACTGAGTTGAATGTACACATTTAAGAATGGACGTCTTGATATTGAGTCTTCCAATCCATGCCATTGTGTATCTAATACATTTATTTAGGTTTTTACCTTTTCTCATGGATATTTTGTACTTTTCAGCTAACAGGTCTAGGCATCTTCTTTAGATTTATTCCTGCTTTTTCTCTATGATGCTATATTAAGTGTCGTTTCCAGCATTCTTTTCTAGTAGATAGAAGTACAGTTGATATTTTTTGTATGTATTAACTTTGTATTCTGCAACCATGTTAAACTCATTCATTAGTTGTAGTAGCTTTTTTGTTAGCTCTTTGTTGTTACTGTTGTTTCTGATTTCTTAGTACTTACGGTTTTCTTTGTACATTATCATGTCATCCGCAAATAAGCATAATTTTGCTTCTCCTGCTTCTAGTTTTTTTTTTTCCTTAATCAACTGGATGGAACTTCCAGTACATACTAATCTAACCTTATATTTCTGGGATCAACTCTATCAAACTGTATTTTCCCATTTACATATAGCGGGATTTGATTTATTAATAGTTAATATTTTTTGCATCTATGTTTATGAAGAATATTTTTCTGTAGCTTCTTCTAATGTCTTTATCTGATTTGAATGTTAATATAACAGCAACCTCTTAAAATGAGTTTTGTTTTGCCTTTATTTTTTGGAAACATTTGTATGAAGTGTGTATTATTTCTTTTTAAATGTATGATAGAATTCATTAAAGAAGCCTCCTAGGCCTGTAGTTTTTGTCTGGGGAAAGTTTTAAATTTGAAACTCAAATTCTTTTTAAGTTTAATTTTTATTTTGAGTGAGAGTGAGAGAGACAGAAAGTATAAGCAGGGGGAGCGGGGAGAGAGAGAGAGAGAATGAATGAATGAATGAATGAATGAATGAATGAATGAATGAATATCCCAAGCAGGCTCCACGCTCATTGTGGGATCCCGATGGGGCTTGATCTCACAACCATGAGATCATTACCTGAGCTCATATCAAGAATCAGACGCTCAACTGACTGAGCCACCCAGGCACCCCCAAACTCAAATTCTTCAATAGCTTTATGGCTATTCAGAATTTTTCCTTCTTGAGTTAGTTTTATTAATGTGTGCCTTTCAAAGTATTGTTCATTTCATAAGTTGTCAAATTTATTGACTTAAAATTTTTCATGATATCCCCTTTTTAATTCTTTTAATTTCTGTAAGGTCTGCACTGGTGGTTCCTCTTATATTCCTGATATTGGTCATTTTCTCTTTTTTGTTCTTTATTAGACTTGCTGAGGGTGTTATTAATTTTATTAATATTTTCAAAGAAACAACCTTTGAAATAATTTTTTTCTATTTGTCTTTTTAATGTTTTATTGATCCCAAATTTTATTTTTACTTTCTTTCTTTTACTTTGTGTATCATTTGTTTTCTTTTCTGGATTCTTAAGTCAGACACTTATTTTAATACCTTTATTTATTAATATTGTTATTAAAGTTATAGATTTCCATCTTAGCAACACTTTAAATGTATTCCACAAATTTTGCAGTGTTGTGTTTTCATTATTATTTAGTTTGAATTAGGAAATATTTCCCTAGGGATTTCTTCTTTGACCTATGGGTTATTTTTACAAGTATCCTACTTAATTTCCAGTTATGTGGTGAGTTTTCTTCCTATTCTATTATCAGTTTCTAACTGGGTACCCTTGTGGTTATAGAATATAGTTTCCATAATTTTGATCCTTTGACCTTTACCAGGACTTGTTTTATGGCCCCAAATGTGGTCTTAATGGATTTTCTATGTGCACTTTAAAACAAGTTGTGTTCTGCATTTGTTCTGAAATATTTTATAAATATCAGTTATGCCAAATTGTTTCATAAGGTTCTCTATCCCTGGTGATATCTGTATCCCTACTGATTTTTTCTCCTTCTATCAGTACCTTATAGAGGATTGTCAAAATATCCAGGTATTACTTTGTGTGTAAGTGTGTCACTTCTTTTGTTTCATATAGTTTTTGAGACTGTTATTTGATCCTATTTAGTATTGATTGTGTGAATGTGTCTAATAATGAGCCTATTGTAAAATAGTCTCAATAAAAGCAAAAGAAGAAGGATGTTGGTAGTGGCAACAAATGGAAAAGATATTATGAAGGAATTAGTGCAAGATTAGGCAGTGCAGGTGATAGAAAACATAGAGGAGATTCTAAGGTCTCAATAGTTTTGCCATGGGGAGAAATAAGAAAGTTGGGAAACAGGTGCTGGCTGATATGGTGGCAGAGAAAGAGGAATTCTATTCTTTACTTATTCCTTAAAGTCAGAAATGAAAAAAACTTTTGTGAAGAACCAAACTTTTGTTAAAAGAGAAATAGTGTGGTAATCTCTTGCCTTACGTATGTAAAATGTATTAGGTTCTGTCTGGTGACTCAGAAATAGTGCAGACCTAATGAGTAATGAAGACTAAGCAAAGGCTGTTACAGTTGGAGATGTAAAAACATATTTATTAAGAGGTAAGGTGAAATAAATATGTTACTAGAAATATAAGCAACATGTTCTGGTGAAACAGAAGTATTGATTACTTGGGCAGATGCCCATATAAGGAAGTTTTTTGTAGGACATGTCCTTTGATTTAGACCTTAGAATGTAGCAGGATTCCTATAAGAGAGGAGGAAGAAAGATTCTGTGCAGGATTTATCTGCATAGTGATCTCTTCTTGCAGACTTTAGCATTTGTTTACAATGTTATATACATAGGAGATGTGAAGGGCAACAAGACTTGCGATTAAATTAAGGTATTTCTGAAATACCAAAATGAATTGTGTAGAAATTTATATTTGATTCCTTTCACCGTCTTATGTGAATATTTGATTCCTTTCACGGTCTATCTGTTACATAGAACAGATATGGTTAACCTATTTATAAGTGAAACATGACAGAGAAACTTTCTGTTCATTTGAATTGCCATTCTCTGCATTAATATTTTTAGTTTGATTTAATATCATATTAACTGACACATGACATGTTAACTGAAGCCAGTGTGCAAGGAGTTTATCAGTGAGTGCTGCCAGATTTGTCTCTGCTTCCTGGGCTATTCTAGGCCTGTAGGGTTTTGGCTCGAGTGTTTAAAAAGGAGAGGAACTCTACTGAGAAGTTAATGTCATGGCCTTCTTAGAAGTTAGTAATTATTGACTTAGAAATTCTTCTTTGTTATGAATGGTAACAAAGACAAGAGTAAAGATGTGTAAACTGCAGCTGGGAGTCATTAGGTATGATATTTTAACTTGTGTAAG